GCAGCTGTTCGTAGAACCTCTCAATATATCTCAGATCGCCCAAGAAATGACGCTGTCACAGTCTATCTTCAACTTCAACTGACTCATTTCGGCAGACAGATTTCTAGCAAAGACTTTGGAAACTTTTGCGCTCAATGGCTTCTTCAATACGAGCTGTATTGAAGTTGCGTAAGTGTCACCGCATGCATTTGGAGATATGTCTGTTCATTTGCCTGTATGCTGTCATATCTGTTGAAGACTGCAGCGTCATTTCCCGTCTAACAACCACGAGATCAAAAGTGTGATCAGAGAGACTTGTGTTTTTCTGTGACAAGTCTCGCAGAAATTAGGTCCCATTGCATGACAAGATTCCATAAATTTGTCATTTTTCTCGTTCTCTGTATTGCAATCGTCTAGGCACTGAAAACTATTTTGTAATATTCTATTATGTGTTAATATAATATAATTTCAGTGGCGATCTGTATTAGAGCACAAGACCTCTCCCAAGACCCGACGTTAAGGTTCAGTGTGCCTCTTAAATTTGGTGATCACTACCAGTTTTAACCCTTGCGATCACTGAGACATCATTGAACAGATGATATCATCTGGTCGTCAAAATGAAGTCAGTCTCATTTTTATCGAACCGTCGATGACACATAGGAAGAAAAAGCTCATTACTTTCCTTCCCCATAAAGTCAGCCAACTGTTGATGGAGCTCAAGGGAGTTCCATGCCACTGTTTCAAACTTCCCTTACCTTCAGCTTACCGTACTTTTTTGTACCTTCCTAGATTTGCGTTGAAGTCTCCTATCAACACAGTTTAAAAGGAATGCATGTCTCTAGAGATATCCTCAAACATCACGGGATCTGCCAAGTTTGTTGCGTTAACCTGTATAACTTCGAACGAATACCTTTTCATGATTCTGACTATAAGACACGCAGCCCTGTAGCTGCACGGCTAGCATGGGATGGGGACAAAAAATTTATCCACGGATTATATACACTGATAAGGGATAAAATTATCTTGTCCTTATGCCAAAGCACGGCAACGGGGAGAAGTTTATCCCCGTTTGACATAACAAGTAGACATATATTCCCGGTACGTAGCATGGAGCCAAATGAAAGATAAAAAATTATGCTTTTCTGATCTTTGAAAAGAACAATTTTATCCCAGTTCATTAGACGTGGGTTTAATATAAAATTCATTCAAAAAATCTATCTAAGTCTAAGTCTATCTCCCATTTTATCTACTGTGGATATTATATCTACCGGTGTGCCCATGCTCGAAGGGTGGATAAAACTAAGCAAACTAAACATTTTCTCCTTTCCCCGGGGATAAAATTGTCTCCTGCCCATGCTAGTCCGGCTGATATTTCCAATTATCAGAAAGTTATCTCCTGCCTTAATGGCCTCCAAAACAGACGTTCGCCCACCCGGTACAGAACGGTATAGAACAAGTAATTTTCGGACCATAGATAGTAATATAATATCCCAACGCATCTTGTCTACCATCTTTTTCCAGCTCTAAGATCTTCTCGTCATTCGAGTGCGTAAAGTGTTGCCAGGTTGCGTTATCAAAAGTGGCAATTTAACCTCCAGCGGAGATTTTTAGCACGCCCTGCCCCGCCGTTACTATAGTCGCCACCGTAACAGGAAGTAGCAGGGCAGCCGGCAAATAGGGGTTTCGTTATGCCGTTGCTCACGGGGAGATGTTTATCATAGTGTAATCATGCTTGGCAGGTGGGCTGCCAACCACACTTTGTATGTTCTTCTTTGTTTCCCTATGTCGGCTCTTACAGCACCCACATGACGATATGGGGTAATAGTGAATATTCTTACAGCGTTACTATACGGTAAAACGGTTAATTTCATTTGTTTTATAACTAAAAGTAGTAAAGTAAAGGTAAATAATATTTTTTGTTTACTTAGTTAAAAATACGGAAGCATCAAGGTAACAATTAAAATTATTGATAGTAGATTGAGGTGCGGCTGGGTGGGTCAACATTTAATCCCATCACAGGGGGTCCCTCCATTATCTACCCATTTTTTCCGCACCCTATCACACAGCAGGATACTAAAAATGCATACCAGTGTGTAATCAATAAAAAAATTGTTTGTTTCTCAAAAACTACTGGGTTGTGCATTCCATACATCCGCATTACATATATTCCTTCTTTTACAGGACCAGTTCTCGGATTCTTTTACACCGCTTTCTATTGAGATTGAATTTAAAAGATTTTTTTTTATTGACAAAATCGTTACATATAACATTTTCAATTTCGATTTCTGTTGAATTGGCCTTTCCCGTGTTCGAAAGATTTGCGATTGTCATCACTTGAAAAAGCAATTACATATAACGAACTCGGCGCAAAACTTTCGTTTTAATAATGGGTGCCCTTTACTGGTTTGATTTTATAATATTCAGAGGGTTAATAAAGAAACAGCGTATATTTTATTTGCTACCGTTGTGTATAGGCCTTCTCTCATATCTGAGACGGTTATAATTATAAGGCAAGTAAGAGTCGGCCGGCGCTATCTCAACATGCATTGGGATTCAGTGATGGTCAGATTTCACATGTCCTCTAAATGTTTTTGATGTTGTTTAATACAGGACAACATCGTAAGCATGCTAGCATAGTATATGTGTTTAGTAAAATTTGCAACTTTCATCTAAGATTAATTAATAAAAAAAACAATTACACAGATGCCGGTAGAGTTTGAACTCGGTTTGCTTGCATTTACTATGTAACTGGGCCAACGTTTATCTGATTCTCTCATTTTCTTAGACAAATGAAACGACATCGATGTTATGGAATATTAATTAAACACCCAGAAGATTTACTATACTTTGTTTTGTTTATAATATATTATCGTTCATTTCAGTAACGCAAAACACTCTTACAATATTTGAAATGATCCTTCTATCTATTTGGGCCTATCGTCTTTACGCTGTATCACCAGATAAGGTTGATTACAAAGTCCAGAAGATCGTTGTTGCTGTACTAGAAGAAGGAACCGGAGTGCTGGACATGAGATCGTCAAAGGATGGCACTGATAACAAATCTTTTAACGTAGATATTAAATGTTAAGGTAAATTATTTACCTTAACATTTAATATCTACGCGTTAAAACTACAATAATTAAAACTATGTGTTGCTCTTGTGATGTATGTACTTATTTGTTGCGATCATTATAAATGAAATATCATTTCATCGTCAGTATCACCAATATAGCTTTTCACAAGTCCGAGTTTTGCGTGGTAGAGCCTAGCTACGGCTTTATTATAGCTGCAACATAGATAGGTCTGCTTGACGGGGGAATGAACACGCTCTCACAGAATACCAGTTTGATATAGCAGGGGGTATCCTCAGAGTTGACAATGTGGTCTTTAGGCCACAGCATCTACTTACTATCTGGGAGACCATGTCATTATGTTATCGTTTGTCCAACCTTACTCTAATAAAATGTCCATTATGCCTCCCCCAAGGAATGCCACAAAACACGTTCTGAGCCTCCTGCGTCTATCGACTTCCTGCATGTATCTACAGGTCGTTACACAAAGAAGTGATGATGTATTTATAATTTTCTACCATTAGGCGACGCAGTGGAATTATATTATAAGCAGCTTACATAGTAAGCGATAGAAATCCAGTATTTTTAGGCCTAAGCTAATACCACTTGGGACTTCTGGATATGTCTTGGGATATGTCAAGTGGTACAATGTTTACCATATATGCTTGTTTTAAAAGAATCACATGAAAAATGCATCTCATTGATTAATGAGTATTAGTTTTTCGACAAATATAAAACTTTGTATATTGTACCTGATATTATTTTTATGTGTTGTAAAACATATTGTACAATAAAAAATATCTTTAAAAAAAATTTTGTTTTATTTATAATGTATTTTTGATATTATTCCAAAGTATGATTTAGTAAAGTATGATTTTATTATATTCAAGGAATTATTGTAGTCATAAAAATAATTATAATTCAATATGGGGACTTACTTTTACCACTTTTCCAGTTCTGAGCTTTGTTTAAACTTCCAATTATTTGTACCTTCAACAAGTTTGTTTATGACCGATTAAATATAGTACCAAATACCAACAAACAAAATGACAGACAAGAAATTGTCTTGCATTTTCATCTACTTTTTAGTTAAATTTGGAGTTTTAAGTCTACTTGACGTTAGTAAAAAATGGATTGCAAGATTTGTATCTAACAGAAAAACAGACAAGAAGCGAGTTATTAAACATTATCATCAACATCATCATCATCATTACAGCCCGTTACAAGACCACTGCCCAGCATTGACCTTCTTCATGGAAAGCCACAAAACACCATGTATCCATCGACTTCTCGCATACTGCATATTCAGTATACTAATTCAGCTTATTATACATATTATATTAACAAAAGCTTTTTGTGAGTCACACGTATGATAAGATTGCGCTGGTAGAGAATTTCTAATATTTTTTTAAAGTTAAATGTAACGGTATTTTAAAAAAATAATCTAGGTTTTTAATTGCAATATTCAAAAAATATTGTTTCCATTCTTTTATATATTTAAGAAGTTCAAGGCACACTTGTAATTTATTAATCTATTCAGTAATTTTTTCACATTTATTTCATTTTAGTAAAAAATAAATGTAAACAATACGTTATAAACTCAAGTTTAATTAATATCGCATTGCTAAATGTCATGGAGCCTGGTTTTCATACTTTTTATGAGCTGTTTTTAAAGGCTGATTTCAGAGAAGTACCTAAACAGGGTTAACCATTCCGTATGTAGCAGTTATTAAAATTAAGTAGGTACAAATAATTGTTTTCCCAGAAATCTTAAAAGTATTTGTTTTTATTATATTTTTTATTGTAATACATTTATAATTAAAAACTTTCCATTATACTTTCTAGTACCTTTTAGGAATCCATAGGTTATAATTTATGGCCTAAAATGACACTCAAAGAACGTTCTAAGATAATAACAGCGTTACAGAATTACTTTTACTTATTTGATTACTATTTTTCGTTTTCTTTCTCGGCAGTGCTACTTTGGGAACTATCTTCATTATCTTCTGAAGGTGTACTAGCGCGAGAGGTTTCAGACCCGTAAATATTATGAAGTTCTTCTAACTTATAATTTATTTTCACTCCTTTTGTTGCAGTCTTGTTAACTTTATGTACGAGTGATTTTGTTTGCTCCTCCAACCTCTTTAGTCTTAAATCGCGGGCGGCAAATATCGCTTCATGTTTCAGATCGTTAGATGTGGATGAATCGGGTTTAACGTCTACGGTTTCTAAATTGCTTTTAACCACATCTATTACAGATCCACTCGATTGAGAAATACAGTCGCTGGATTTATTATACTCACTATGAAGTGTCTCTAATTTATCCGAAATTTGTTCACCTGTTCTAATGGTACTGGTAATGCTATTTAGTACATCGGAGCAAGCATTTTCTAAATTTTGCAGTCTTTGATCCTTTAACGTAAGATGTTCATTTTGTCGTTTAATATTTTCTATAATTGCTTTAAAATCTAGAGAGGGTTGGTTAGAAATTGACGAATCATTTGAAGGAAGTGGCGTTTTAGTTGCTTCATTTTTGCTTGGCAAGGGTAAATGTTCACTATCAGTAAGGGATATATTTTGTATTGATTGATTTTGATCTAAAGAATTTGATACCGTTGCGTTATCATCTTGATGAGAAATTTGATTTATTTCTATGTATAAATTTGATTCACTTTTTTCTGGCCCTTTTGTCTGACTGTAAATTTCATTGTTATGTTTACTAGATGAAGGCCGATTAATTAAATGATCCAGCGTATTATTAATTTGGTCGCCTAATTTTGATATCGTTTCAGTTTTCTTAAGTAACAAATTACTGTCTTTTTCAAGAGATTCTAACTTTTTGTCTTTTCTAGCCAGCATTTCGTTTTGTCCCTCTATGCTGCTTAAAATCTTTAAAGGATCAATTGCTACTTGAGTATCAGTCAATTGTTCAAGTGTCATGTTTTTTTGTGTGTCATTTACTAAATGTGAATCTTTGAAGTCAGTATCACACGATTCTCTATTATCTTTAAAGGGTTCTGCTATAGAATATTCTTCTGTACACGAGTCGTTACCAATATCACCAACTTCATCTTCTGTTTCCTCATACCCTTGCTCGTATGTATTCGAACTTTCATTGTTGCAAGAAGCAGGTGTCTCTAATGGTTCAAGATCTTGATTGTCTAGTGGCAATTCAGCAACGTCCAACATGTCACTCACAGGATCCTCTCTTTCTGCAGCTAAATTACAATCCGCACTTGAGTCTATTACTGTATTAAAAGATTTTTTGACTTTCTTCTTACATCTTACTTGCGATTTTTTTATATATTCACTTTCATCGTTTGACTCTGATGATTCATCAGAAGGTCTTTCGTCACTGTAACCACTTTCCGCTGAATTATTAATAGAGGTTGAGGTAGATTTTAGTTTTCTACTTGAAAACTCTGCTCGCAACTTTTTCCAATCTTTTTCAGATTGCGAATTTTTCTCGCGGGCTTGTTCCCACTTCTCCCGGCAATATTCAAGTTCTTCTTTAAGTTCGTTGAGCAGTTTTCGTTTTTGTTGTAATTCATACTTCAGTATCTTTTCATGTGTGTGTAATTGATGATGATGTCTTCGAAGGCGGCCTACGACGTGCCACGTTTTGCTCAATTCTGTTGTTACTAGACATAACCGGCGTTCTTGTTCTTGTAAGCGTGTTTCCAAGTGTCCATTGAGTTGTTTCATTCGGTTAACTTCTTTAATTAGTGTTAACTTTTCTATAATCAAATCCTGAAACAAATAAATTTATTTACTTTAAATGAAGAATTTACTGATTTAATAAACGTAAGGAGAAAGTAATGAGAATGTTGGCAATATCCGCCGTATTTTTAAAAATTGCAAGTAAATTTGGCTCAATACCAACTCCTATAATAAGATCACGGTTTTTGCAAAAGATTGGTCATAAACATGTTTCTGTTATCTTACATTTTTAGCATTGACTCAGAGCTTAAAACAATACCATTTTACAATGTTGAAATAAATAGTAATTAATAGAATCAGGCGTTACTTTGCGGAAATCCTAATGGGTTTTATTAGTTATGAGGAAGGAGAAGGACGAAGTATTAAGAATATAATTATTAAATTTGGTAAAAATTACCAACTTTAATATAATGGAAAACACCAAAAAGGTGCTGGGATTAGTGGTGACAGGGATAGTGCTCGAAGTTGAGAGAGGGCGGAAGGTGCTCTTCAAACTAGGTAAGGACACATTATTTTATTTTATCGAGCGAATGTACGCAAGGTAATTTTTACCAACATTAAAATAAATATGAGTTAGATGAGTGCTCGCGTCCGTAGGCTTCGACCACCATTAGGTACCATTAGGTCTGATACATTCAGTACGCCGAATATATATATATATATATATATATATTAATACATAAGTATTCAAGGAAGAAAGTACTGACATTAAAGTATACAATATTTATTACGATGAAAAACAAACTAGGCCCACCCTACACGTGTCCCCCGGGTGGTGCTAAACAAGCGACAAACCGAAAGAACTGACTCGGCTCCCCACCGTGTGGTAGCGGCGTAAAAAATACCACACCCTACTTTCGCACCATGAGGCAAAAAATTTACGAATGGCCCCGAGTTCCCGGCGCCCCTTTAATGGGGCAGAGGTGCGAAGAATCTCCGGGAGGAAAACTGGCGACGAGGTTCGCCACCCGTCACGTTCTGTCCCCCGGAGCGGTGAAAAGTGGATTGCAGAAGCCCGTCTGGCTACATTGAATGTATGTGGAGGAATGAATGATAAGATGGATGAAGTATGCGATGTGATGTATGATAGAGGAATAGACGTGTTATGTGTAAATGAGACGAAACGGAAGGGAAAGGATGCCACTACAAATGGCATGTATACCGCGTACTGGTCTGGTGTAGACGAGATCGAGCGGGCATGCCAGGGAGTCGGTATCATCCTTTCAGAAAGAATGGATCATTGTGTGAAAGAGTATGAATGTGTAAGAGACTGCTATGGATACGAATGAAAGTGGGCTTAAAGAAGTTGTTTCTTTTAGGGGTCTACGCCCCAGACATGTTTAGCCCACTTATATACGAGAGCAGTTTTGGGAGTTGGTAAGGATGGTGCTAATGAAATGCAAGGTTAATGAAAATATTGTGATATTAGGCGATTTTAATGGAAGGGTTGAGGTGAGGACGCTTGGTTATGAAAGGATATTGGGAACGTTTGGTGATGAAAGTATAAATGAGAATGGTAAAAGCCTCCTCGCCGTATGCGTGGAAAAGAGTCTTTTTGTGACGAACACTTTCTTTCGTCATAAGAAGATTCACACGTATACATGGAAAAGAGGTGATGATAGAAGTATGATAGATTTCGTAATTGTTGATGAAAGAATGAGGAGCGCGGTGGTAGATACAAGGGTTTACCGAGGCTCTAACGTAGGGATGGACCATTACTTGGTCTTATGCCGAATTAATAGTCTTTTCAGACGTTGGAGGCATCGGACATCTGTGTCTACCACCGCGTTACAGCGTATAAGAACAGAGAGGTTCAAAGAGAAGGTTGAAAGAGAAGTTCAAATGTAGATTGATTAAAATATAAGTGGTATGGCTGAATTTTGTATGAATGATTTAGACTTGGAGACTGTGTGGTATAATGTCAAGAAAGGGTTAGTGGATGCAGCTACCGAAGTATGTGGTGTAAGTAAGAGAACGAATGAAAGGAAAAATAACACGTTATGGTGGGACGATGAGATACGGATGGAAGTTGAAGCAAAGAAGAAAGCATGGCTAGATTTACTAGCAACCAAGGCTAGTAATTCTAGCAGTATGAATGATGATATTGAAAGGAAAAAGGCAGTCTTTAGACACCTAAATAAGAGAGTAAAAGAAGTAGTTGAAAGGAAAAAGCAAGAAAGAACGGATAAGAATGATAGAAGAATATCGGATAACTTGCAGGCAAACATTAAAATGTTCTGGAAACTCGTAAGAACTGCCAGGGGACATTCAAAACAGCCTAGAATGAATACTATACGAGACCAGAATGGCTGTATTCTGAATGACGAAGTTTTGAGTTTAAGGAGATGGAAGGAATACTTTGAAAGCGTGTTTATGAGTGTTGAGACATTTGAATTAAATGAAATAGAAATTCCGAAAGAAGAGGAAATAGATAGAGATATAAGTATAGATGAAATAATGAAAGCAATGAAAATTATGAAAGCAGGTAAGGCAGCCGGATATGATAGAGTATCTCCTGAAATGCTAAGGGCTGGAGAAGGAGTGGTGGCAGACCTGCTGTACACCTTGTTTAATTTATGTTGGGAACTTAAGCGAGTACCGTGAGCCTGGTGCAAAGCCGTAACAGTCCCATATATAAAGGAAAAGGATAGTCAATATATAAGGGAAAAGGATCACAGCAGGACTGTAAAAACTACCGTGGTATCAGCCTTCTTAGCATTGTGGGAAAACTGTATGCTAAGGTACTAATTGAAAGAGTTATGAAAGAAACTGACGGAAAAATTTGGGATGTGATGTACGGATCAGGTATTTTCCATGCACATGGTCGCGGAGAAGTTTTTGGCCAAAAACCAAAAAGTTTCTTGTGCGTTCATGGACTTGGAGAAGGCTTATGACAGAGTGGGTAGGGATGTGTTATGGCAAACACTGAACTCATTTGGGTTGAGCGCTGGCTTGATACAGTAATTGAAGTCTCTATATAGGGACTCTAGTGCTTGTATCAGGATCAACGGGGCCTACTCGGACTGGTTTGGCATCCATAAAGGTGTCGTACAGGGCTGTGTGGCTTTCCCATGGCTGTTCAACCTATTTATGGACAGTTGTTTGGAAAATTTGAAAGTAGAAGAATGCGGGTTAAGAATGGGTGAGTTAACCGTCAAATGCCTTTTGTACGCCGATGATCAAGTCATATTTGCGTCGTCGGCAGCCGAGTTGCAAATGATGGTTACATTAATGAACTGGACATTAAAAGAAAAGGGAATGAAAGTGAACGCAAGTAAGACGAAAGTTATGGTTTTTGAAAGAGAAGAAAGTAAAACGATATGTGAAATAAGAATAGAAGGGGAGTTGGTCGAGCAAGTAGATGAGTTTGTGTATTTGGGATGTGTGTTTAGCAAGTATGGTAGATATGATAAGGATATAGAACGACGAGTGAATGCAGGAAATAGAGTGAATGGGGCTCTACACCCTATTGTGAAACGTCAGAATGTGTCCAAAAAGGCACGTATGGCAATTCACAATGCTGTGTTAGTACCTACTTTAATGTATGGTAGTGAAAGTTGGGTGTAGCAGAAGAAGCACGAGAGTAGAATAAATGCTGTAGAAATGCGGTCATTAAGGAGTATGTTAGGGATAAATCTGAATGACAGAGTGAGAAATTGTTTAATAAGAGAAGAGTGTGGTTTGCAAGATGATGTTGTGACCAGGATTAAGAAAGGAATGCTTCGGTGGTTTGGTCGTGTAGAAAGAATGAATGAGGAAAGAGTGACAAAGCAAATTTATGTTGCAGAAGTGAACGGCAGAGTTGGGAAGGGTCGCCCTAGGCGAAAGTTTATCGACCAAATTGGCGATATATTGAAAATGGGCCAAATCAAGAGTACCTTTAACCGACGAGCGTGTATGCGTAGGTATATGGATGTGGAGGAAGCGAGAGAGGTGTGTCAGTATCGTGCCAAATGGAAGTCCATAGTCTCTGCCTACCCCTCTGGGTGACAGGCGTGAGTGTTTATTATGTAAAATAAATAGTAATTTACCTTCAATCTTATATAAGTTTGGCTAACACTTGGTACTAATACCGGTCCAGATTTAGTTTCCACTGATTTATAACAAGTTGTTACTTTCGCGGTATTATCCACATCTGGCACAGCTTGATGACTCAAAAGCTCCATGAGCACTCTCCAAACTTTTGGAAGGTTTTGTACAATTTCTTCTGCTGTAGCGTTTCCTGGGTTTTGAGTGACTGTAAAATTAAAATAAGTAGAAATAAGTAGTAACATATGTTTGTTAATTAAATTTTGTAAAATTAAAATAAGCTGTTAAATAAGTTGTTCAATAAAGTTTACAATTCGAAACATCATACCTATTTCCTCTGCCTGTTTGTTTTCATCTACTCTTTCTTTTATATCTTCATTTGACATGGTAGTTGAATTAGTTTCTTCCGTGTCTTCCACTTGACTAATTAATTGCAATAAAAGTTTGGGTAAAGCCGATGAAGCTTCTGACCCATCATCTTGTTCAGCCATTTGGGTAAGTATGCCATGGTTCTCTTCAAGACGAATAATGAGTTTATCTAAATCTTGTTTATTTTTGTATCCCAGAAGTACTTGTGAAAATAGCTGTAAAACACATAGAATCTCGTTTATTTGGGCGTTAGACTACAAAGATCTACTTGCTGAAAATATTTACCTTATTGACTACTTCCATTTCAGCTTTTAGGCCACCGGTTTCATTTTGGTATGATACTATTTGATTCTTTTTGTCTTCAATAGCTTCTTCCAGCGTACTCACTAGTGTTTCAAGTTCCACTACCTTTGCGCTTAATTCGTTTCGCCTGAAAATATAGTAATTTTAAATAAATTAAAGTGGTCGTATGTACTTTAAATAGATAATAATAAAAGAAGACATATGTATTTTTTATTGGCATTTACTTTTTGATTTCAATTTCATTCTTTTCTTTTTGTTCTTCAAGTTCCCTCTGCAATGCTTGTCTAGTTACTTCAGCTAGCCGAGCTCTTTCTTCATAAAGGCCGCGTAATGTACGAATATTTTGGAGTTGACGTTCATATTCTTGTCTTAAATCAGCCGATAACATTTTCGTTTCTCTGTCTGCTAGTGACTGTTCAATTTCATGCAACTTGTTTTTCAACTGCAATAAGATAAAATAAATTATTGTATCATTGTATGTGTAATTTTCTGATTGAGTGTATCAATGTGTCTATTGTTTAAGGCGTATATTACTCATTAGGTAAGTTGTACTCTCTGGCGTTTTGACAAAAATTCAGTGCCAAACACATACAAAATGACGTATTTGCCTGTATTGCGTCGTTGCCATCTCCGTTCTGCGCTGCGGCGAAACTTTCCTCATGTAGGTCGATGCCTTTATAAACAAGGAAAGAAAGTACATCACATCGCAGACATCTCTGGCATGAATAAAGTCGGCACAAAGAAGAAAACAAGTAATTATAATAAGTTAGTTATATTCGGCAGGGAACATTGGTAGCGTTAAATAATGTTAATATAATGATTTTGTAATAATCGTTCTAAAGAAATTAAAACGTTGATTCAGCGTATTTTTAACGAGCTAAAGCCATACTACAACTGATTTTTTTTTTATAGGATCGGGTGACAAACGAGCACACAGTCCACCTGATGGTAAGTGGTTACTGTGACCCATAGACATCTACATCTATCCTCAATAAAGACTCAAGATGCAGATGCGTTGTCACCCGTGAGGACTAAGATGGAATGCCTCTTTGCCAGTAAAAAGGGTCTCCGGTTCTCTACACTCACCATACTAAACACAGCAGCGTTAAGCTGCTATTTTACGCTGGTTTTCTGTGAGAGCGTGGTCCTTCCCCGTTCGAGAAGACCCATTCGGGCTACAACCATAATATAGCTGCAGCGTGGCTCTACCACGTAGAATATGAATAATAATAAAATGAAAAATAATGAATTGTAGCTGTATCACGAATAGCCGACCCATTTGTCTCAGGAAGAACTCGCAATCTATCTATATTATATATATTGTTTATGAAATGTAAGATATCTCAATAAAATACTACTTGGCAGAGAAACACTGGTAATATTGGTATAATCAAAAGTTAATGCCGTACTGTCTAAAAACTAAAAAATGATTGAAATTAATTTGGTAGCACTTTTTTCTTCATTAGTAATTACAGTACATTGCTAGACACCTCCTTTGTAAAGAATCCTAGTAGAATTTTGAAATGTTATGTAAGTAATCTAAATGAACACTGAAAGGACCATGGGCAAAAATGTATGAAGCCTGGGCTCACCCACCAACAGAGATGAGATCACTTTGAATATACTTGTACTGCAATAAATATAAAGATATAAACTCATTTATGTGAAGAATCCATGGGGTTATTTTTCTATAAATATTTTTCTCCTACCATAAATAAGCTATAATCCTGCAAAGTAATGCTGTTATGACATTGTAGTTTTTGTTGTTTGACATCTTATACCAGTTTTAATTCCAGGTGCAAAAATATATAAAAAATAAAACAGCTGTTATCAGTTAAAAATATTTTTTATTTTTAACTAATAACAGCTGTTTATCAGTTGGAAACATTTCAATCAATATCAATAATAATGTCGTTTAAATGACCTGCCGGTGATTTAAATTGTATGTGCCTAACCCTAGATACCATATTATTGAAACGGTATATGCACAACTTCCTACTGTGCGCCTACCTTTTAGACACGAGCAGTAATATTGAGCGATGGCATCTGGACCTATTTCATTTTAGCCACACATTTTGGTGTTGGGTATTGCATGCTGCTAAATCATGTAATTCATTTTCACGATAGATTTCTATCGTATATAAACCATTGCGTAAATGTTCGCAGCAAGGGTTATAGAGATATAGTAAGATATAGTAGAGCGTGTAGTAGTACAATATAGTTAGAAGGGACAGGCGTCCGCGCAGACGTCCGAAAGGTGTGAGGGATAGAGAGTGTTGTAAATCACACGGGCGCAGGCGCATCTATGTTTACCATTATTTTAAAGTATGAATTTGTTGTTTCAATAACAGTTTATGACTACCAATTGTCTTTTTCTACAAAACCTATTTAGATGCATATCTTTTTTCTGCAATGGAATTGAAGGTGATGCTACTAGTATAGTAAGAATTTAAGTACGAACAAAATCTTTTACAATGGCATATGTCATAACTCTGTTGGACACTGAGCCCAATTTGTCACATGGATCTTTTAAGAAATATTTTTTCCTCCTTTGATGTTTTATGTATCTTTATCTTAAAATTATAAATTAAAATATTAATCAGAACTTCATAATGTAGTAGTAAATATTACTGTAATACGAAAAGCACTCAATAATAGCAATAAATAATCACAATCAGCCTTCTCATAAATGTTTTTAAAATAGACTTATAATGATTAAGGTAATTAGAATCTTTCAAGAATAATAACATAACGATTAATACTAAGAGCTTAGAAGCATGCTGGCGATATCGTGCGTTTCTTTCAGCGACCAAATAGCTTGAAGGCAATTAACGCGACCAAGTAGCTATTCAATACACTGTCAGTATTTAGGTACTATTATTATTTAATATATTATATAAACTATTATTACTATCATAGCGTACTACAGGCGGTATTTGGTATGTAATACGCATTACAGGCAATTTCCTAAAAGTGACTCCGTAATTTTTCGTGCGTAAATAATTTTATATTATGTAACTGTCAATTTAACCATAACAACGAAAGAAGAACGAAAAAAAAAAACACTGAAAGTTTCTGAATTCTATCAAACAAATAATATTTATTCTCAAAGTGTAACTTTATTACATCTAAATATTATTTGTTCATACTTTCTTTACACAGGTTCGAGTGAAATACGGACAGAGAGACAGACAGATAGCGCCGTATCTAGTAAACTCGTATAATATAAATAGCATTGTTTGCGACTTAACAAGTAGTTTCGTCATTTAAATAATCACTGTTCAAATAAACATCATTTTGGATTTGAAGCAGTAGCATGATATTGACACTTTGTTAATGTAGTGTTATTATTCCTTTATATTTCTATTTATTGATGAGAAAATTAATTTATTTCTATAATATATTTAGTATACTATTGTATAATGTTGATTTGATCCAAAATCTTCAGCACGAACTCCATTTTATTTACATTTTTTTTAATTACATAATATTTTTTTAATTTTTGGTATTGAAATTGCTTTTCGTTTCCCAATTATTATATCGTTTAATTTATGTAATTTGTTAATTTTATCATATTAATAACCTTTGATGGCCTGTTGCTGGCACGTTGTCTGAACCCTGGACAAGATAATGTGGCTAATTTTCTGAAGTTTTGACATAAGTGGTAGTTATTTTTAAATGACTTAGTTTGGAATACCATAAAATATTTCACAGCTTTTCAAACGTGGTAGAGCCATTCTACAGCTATATTACTGATATAGTTGTAGTACAAATGGGTTGGCTCGACCGGGGTAGGACCACGCTCTCAGAATACCAGCGTAAAATAGCAGCTTAAAGCTTTTTACTGGAAACGAGGCATTCCATCTTAGTCCTCACGGATGACAACGCATCTGCATTTTGATTCGTAATCGAGGACAGATATAGTCGTCTATGGGCCACAGCAACCACTTACCATCAGGTGGACTGTGTGTTCGCTTGTCACCCTTATCCTATATAAAAAAATATCCTTAATATCTACTATTTCACGATTGTCATGGCCCGTGAAATCTTAAAAGGGTGATTTTTTACATAATTTAAGTGTACACGTCCAAGGTGTAGTGTCGTATTTTCGGTGCTTATGTAGCATATTAAAGCCATACTTTAATGTAAAGTTTTTCCTTAATTTCTAAAAATACTTTTCACGAAAGTAAGTATTTAATAATTAGATTTTTTTCTTATTGTAATACCTACGCTTAAATATGTTATGGGTAGGATAAAGTACATTAATTAATATTGGGACTTATTTTCTAAATTCATTATTTTTTGTAAATATGCATTTTTACATAAATCAGATAAACTATCATATTTATTTCATATTTTAATATTTAGAATTAATATTTTCGCATTATGTATAATATAAGAAAAACGTAAAACTTACCTCGTTCAGTTGTTGTTCCCGTAAATTAATCATGGTTTTGCTGACGTTAATCACTTCTTTAAGCGAATTGATCTGTTTAATAGATTCTGTATTTTGGGCACTAAGATCTGCAATATCGGAATAAGCATCTTGCAAGGCGTTATTAGAGTTTGCTAGTTCACATCTTAATTTGTTGTTGTTAAATTTTAATTTTTCTACTTCTTCTTTCATTTGTAGTATAGCATTTAAAACGTCTGAGTTTTCTTTGGAAGCTTGCAATTCTTCTGGTATATCAATATTATTTTTGGTCAATAATTCACGTAGAAGTTTATTTTTTTCAGCTAATTCTAATTTGGCTCTAATTTCATTTTCTAAAGATTTCTCTAATTCTTTTTTTTCAGTTCTATGTCTCAATAATATTTCTTTTCTTTGTTCACGCTTAATAGTTAGTTGTTTTTTAAATTCATCTAACTCTTCCTCTCTTCTTTTAGCACGATTATCGTCTTCGCTAACAGTATCATGAAATTCTTCAATTGTATCCTTATAACCAGAGTCACCGATTCCATCCATTGTTCCGCTTTCACATATAATTTTATCACTCACAACTGTTGTGTTCACCCTCGTTGAGACACCACTGAGAATGTTTCCCATATTGGGATACTTTTATAAACAACCCGTGATTTTATTGTAGGTAATGACCGTTATACTTTTAATAAGACAAAGATGTGCCGACTACTTGGAGCAGTATAAGCATGAGGCCGCGATCCTAAAATAGATCCCCCGTCAGCACCAGACGTGTTCCTACGTTTAAAGTACGTACAGTATTGCAGAACGATTTGAACGTTCCTATTTCGACCAACGGCTGTCAATTATTTATTTTTAACCTATTATTTCATGTTGTGTTACACTTTTCTAAAACGAAATATTGTATTCGTTATGACTAAACGTAGGCTGTCATTATTTTTCTAAAAAGAACCGAGTTTTATCGAATTTTTAATCCTTGAACAGTTTTATATTCTCTAATATTAGAAATTTTTTATGTATCGTTGAGATTTACATACAGTATTTGCCAATATTTGTACCGTGCGACCATCGCTCTCGCGGCCCAAGTGCCGTAACCAAATGCTACTACTACTACACTGCTGAGCCGTCAACGTTTTGGAACCAACATTGTTGTACTTAGTTGTGTTAAAAATATTGGTTGGACAACGTCGGGGCCTATTAAGGTGCGTTGGGGTAAGATCGGTGATGGGCCCAGACCGTATGATTCAAATTTCCGGCGAATTATGCTAAAATATTTTTCAAGACGCCATTTCATTCTGCCCCGACCCCAAGTTCCTGTCATTCGCTCTGGGAAGTAGGACGCGTCCTGCGCGGCAATTTATAAAACAAGATAATTTTTGTATTTTTTTTTGTCCATCCGGTCTTTCCCTATCACGTTTATTTGTGATTTTTAGCTTCTATTGTTATTATTTTGTCTAAATACTAAGTTTTATGAAGTTATAGCCGGATAAAACTGATCCAAAGAGGGCTAAAAGATATTTCGCCGCGCGAGTGAAGATCGGATAAATCTTTACCCGTTACAAATATGGCAGTGATTGTTAAACTTTCATTTGTCGTATATGGGTAGTTCTACAAACTAAGGAAGAATTCGAGTCTGATTTCGGCCCGACATTTTTTATACATTCTAGTGGCGGAATTCACTCTAATAACTAGAGTACAGTGTCTTTTAGCTTATCCTAAAGGGAACAGTCAAAATGTTTAATATTTTTATGATTTATGGCCATTTAAAAAAAATCGACCCACAGGAAACTGAGAGTGTCACCAGGAAGCTGAGGAAAACAACAAAAATCAATCGAGATCAATAATTTATTTCACAAATTTTAAAAATTTGCCTTTTAACATTAATTTGTTATAATAAATGTATATTTTATAATAACAAAAAGTAGTTTTAAACATTGCTTAGATACTAATTCTATACCTAAAACAGCCCTAAACAGGAACATTAATCATCAAATGATTATTGAACATAAGAATAATAATAATCTCTCTCTCAATAATAAAATATCTCTTCAAGGTAACAATATGAAGTTTTTGTAACAAATTGTGACTAAACGATACATACTTCAATCTAGTATTTTACTTAAATCTATTTAATATATCTTTTAAGCTATATTTTGTAAACACAATCAGCTAAACACCCAGGGCATGTAAATAATGTAGATTCACCTTTAATACATCCATCTTGTGCCCAATTATTACATATTAGACACTGGACCTAGTCATTTCTGTCGTATCTTCACTATAGAGAACACCACATATTATAAGGCACTCGCAGTCACTGAACTCGTATTTATTTGTCTGTGCTTTTTTGATTCATTTTCTATTTTATTTTATTTGTTAGAGTCTTAAGATTAGACGTATTATCTGATATTTGTTTTTCCAACATATCACCAAATAAAGCCTTTTTGACGACGTCTACCAGTGTCGTTGGATCTTCAGCAAGTTTGGTCATTGCGGTTTTAGGCGTAAACTCCATTTATTTCTTTTGTTTTTTCAATCTCTGGCATCTCTTTGTTTATTTGCTAAGTTTTGGTTTCAATTTTACTATTAGCGCATTTTTGTCTTATCTCCTGAGTTTTCTTACGACGTTGCTTATACCGTTCTCGTGCTGATTTCAATCTTGGATTTGGCTTCGGTTATAATGTTTGTAAAAATTTATCTCAAAATTTACTTGCTGACGTTGTTCATTTTGTTGTTGATCACGGAACTCATGCTCATCATCTAGACGGAGTATTTTCTCTAACAAATTGGTTCATCATATTAGTTATTAACTTTTTCTTTTTGTACGATTTGTATGAGTATTCCCTCCAACTTCTGCGAGCTTGCCTTTTTTCACGAGCTGACATTTCAGAAATTAGTTTTTTTTTTACCAGATACTCGCAGCTTTTTATACTTTTGCTTTCTTTTTTCATTTTCAGCCGCTAACCTCTGAGTGTCGTTCATAATTTTTCATATCTAATTTTTCAAAAAACAAATTACGAGAGTAAGTTCAATTTATTTTTAAATTATTTATTTGTAGTTTAATGTTTGTGTGTATAAAATACTATTATTGCACAGAAACAATATTTTTAATATGATCTGCTCAGGTTCTTAGTATCCTGAGTACTAATTGGACAGGATCCTGAGGCCAGGTTCCTGAAAATTTCTGTCTAAAAATAAAATAAACACACCAATTTATAAGTTTCAACAAAAATTAACCTAAACTAGGCCTATGCGCTAGCATCTTACGTATCAATACGCTAAAATTTTTTTTTTTTTTTTTTTTTTTTTATAGAATAGGGGGCAAACGAGCATGCGGCTCACCTGATGTTAAGTGACTACCGCCGCCCATGAACAACCGCAACACCAGGGGAATTGCAGATGCGTTGCCGGCCTTTTAGAAAGGTGTAAGCTCTTTTCTTGAAGGTTCCTAAGTCGTATCGGTTCGGAAAATTCGCTGGTGGTAATTGATTCCACAAAGAAGTTGTGCGAGGGAGAAAACTTCTTCTAAATCGCACAGTGGTGGACCGCCAATCATCCAGATGGTATGGATGGTAACGCGAGTTTTGTCGCGACGTGCGATGGTGAAATTGAGCGGCTGGAATTAGTCCGAACAATTCCTCAGAGCACTCCCCGTGATAGATGCGATAAAATACGCAAAGAGATGCAACATCTCTACGCAGTGCCAGTGTATCGAGCCGATCAGAAAGAACTCGGTCGTCGACGATTCGAATCGCTCTGCGCTGGATGCGGTCAAGTGGAAGGAGCTGGCACTGGGGTGCCCCGGCCCAGAGATGAGAACAGTATTCCATGTGGGGCCGAACTTGCGCTTTGTAAAGTTGCAAGCGATGTGCCGGCATGAAATACTGTCTCGCTCTGCTGAGCACGCCAAGCTTTTTAGAGGCCAATTTGGCCTTCCCTTCCAAGTGACCACGAAACTGCACGCTATTCGATATGTCGACGCCAAGGATTCCGATACTGGCTGAGGCAGCAAGGGGAGTGCCTTGAAACTGAGGAGATACGACAAAGGGGTTCTTTTTAGCGGTAAACGCGCAAACTTGTGTCTTCTGGGGATTGAACTGGACTAGATTTAGTCGGCCCCAATCCGAGACTTTGTTAAGCAAAGACTCGACTTCAGACACAAGTTTGTCCCGGTACTCGGCGACGTTTTCCCGAGAAATATTGGCACGGCCGGTATATAAGGCATCCCCAGTGCTGTCGTCTGCATAGCAATGAATGCTACCAGTTAGCAACATATCATTGATATGCAGGAGAAACAGCGTTGGTGATAGCACGCAGCCTTGTGGAACACCAGCGTTGATAGGCTTGTAATCAGAGCATGCACCGTCTACTACGACCTTGATGCTCCGATCAGCAAGGAAACTGGTGATCCATTTGCACAATTTCTCGGGAAGCCCATAGGAAGGAAGCTTCGAAAGAAGCGCCTTGTGCCAGACCCGATCGAAGGCCTTCGCTATGTCCAAACTAACGGCCAATGCCTCCCCCTTGGACTCTACTGCCTCCGCCCATCTATGAGTTAAGTAAACTAAAAGATCACCTGCTGATCGACCCCGACGAAAACCGTACTGACGGTCACTGATCAGCTGGTGATCCTCAAGGTACCTCATGAGCTGGCAGTTTATAATGGATTCCATTATTTTGGAGAACAAGGAGGTGATGGCGATAGGCCTGTAGTTGGACGGGTCTGAGCGGTCGCCTTTTTTAGGGATCGGGTGGACCAAAGCTGTCTTCCATGAATTCGGGACTACGCCTTGGGAGTAGGAGTACCGGAAAAGACGCGTTAAAACCGGTGCCAACTCCGGAGCACACGTCTTCAGCACAATGGGAGGGACTCCATCGGGCCCACTCGACTTGCTGACGTCCAGGGAGAAGAGTGCTTTGCGAACCGAGCGCTGTGTAAATCGCACATCCGGCATGGAGCACTCACATCGCGGGATGGTCGGCGGTGTGTTCCCCCCGTCATCTAGAGTCGAGTTGGACGCAAAAAGAGAGCACAACAGATCGGCTTTCTCTTTTGCGGCATGGGCCAGTGAGTCGTCCTCTCTGTGCAGAGATGGGAGGGATGGCTGACAGAAGTTCCCTTGGACAGCCTTGGCGAGAGACCAGAATGCACGGGTTCCCGAAGGAAGGCGAACTAGCTTCTCGCCAATTCTGCCGATGTGCTCAGACCTTGCCTTGGCAATGACGCTTTTGAAGGACCTGGAGGCGGAATTATACTTCTTTTTAAGTGCGCTGGTGTTTAAATCCCGAGACGTTGATGCGTCAGCCCAGGCCCGGTAGCACTCCTGCTTATAGCGTGATGCTATTTTACAGGAGCGACCAAACCATGGCTGGGATCTGCCTCCGATGGGCACCACAGAGGATGGAATAAAAAGTTCCATACCCTGAAGTACCACATCAGCAACAGAATCGGCAACAACGCTGGGATCTTCCGGCGAGAAGCAAACCCGCCCCCAAGGGTAGGATGCAAAAAAAGACCGCATCCCGTCCCAATCAGCTGACCTATAGTGCCAAACACGGCGGCAAGCTGTAGATCGCAACTGCGATTGGAGCGTGAGTGGCACTGTGCTCCGGATCAGACAATGGTC